AAAAGCTGCCTTTTTTTTAAGGGGCTGAAAATCCTTAATTACTCAATTACATTGTATTTTCAAAAGCATCTTATAAATCATGACTGAGTCTTGAAAAAAAGAATATAAAAAGTAGCAAAATAGCGAGACTTTACTTGCCAAGGCATCAATGCAGATCACCCACTAAACCCAGAAGAAGAGTTAAATTACAAATTGGAAAATGACTAGATAAAGTTAAAGGAGTTGGTGATTCTTTTTTCTAATGTGAGAGTCAGACCATGAGCAGCTTCCAACAGGGGATGGAGTGGCTGTCCAATTATCAGAGATTCAAGTAATCTACTTCTACATTTAACTTGTCTTGTGTCTTGTGTATTTTATTATGATATATATTTGCTTACAGAGGGTATTTTCACTTGTTTTGTATATAATTTTTTATGTTTTGTATCTCTCAGTTTCAGAGAAAAATAAAGTAAATGACAACAAAACTGGATTTTATTGCTCCTGATCCCTTGGCATAGAGATGATATAATCCATTTTGCTAGTCTATCTTGGATCAGTGGCTGAGCCTAGGGAATAAGAGCTCTAAATATACAGAGATGTTACATGAAACACAACGTTTATTTTATTCTGAAGCAATGGGACACTAAGTCTTAACAGTACAACTGAATTTATAGATGTAAGTCAGGTTGAATTACAGATAAAAAAAGAGAAATTCTTGTTCTATTGTCTGTAGTGATTCTCTACACAGTGGCCAGCTCTGATCTGATGGTTTCCTTTCATATGTGAATTTACCTGGCAGTTATAAATGCTGAGCCCTGCAGCCATGAGGTCTCCTCTTTAATTGGGTAGAGGTTTATTGTCACCAAAACTTACAACAGTAGGCTTTGTAATTTGTCTTTCTTACTTTTAGATTTGAGAAAACAACTATATCATTACTAACATTTCACTTGCTGAGGAAGAAAAAAATTGATATTTTAGCTTCAGGTTGAAAACCAGAACACAGCTCTTTTAAGTGTACCTTCCAGTCCTTTCTGACTTTGAGACACATATAACTTCACAGCAAGGTGCAGGTAAAGCAGGAAGAAGCAACTGGCTAAAAGCCCTGAAAGCCAGAATAAAAGCCCCAAAATTGTCTTTGTCTGTCTGTTTTATAAATATCCTTTGGGCAGTTGATGCATTTTCCAGACATTAAATTATTTTCTATTTGGTTTTATATGTATCTCTAAATAAGACAAATCTGTTCAGATTATGGCATTTCTAAAAGCAACCTGTGTCAGAGTTGTTGAGAAGGTTACTATTTTTTTACCTCTTTTCCTTGAGTGAAAAAACCTGAATGACTGGTTATAACTGCTGGATAGCAAAGCAGAACTATTTTTATTCATAAAAGGTGGGCTGCTAAAGTCTATAATTCTGAGAAGCTAAAAATATCCACATTTTATCTGTGTCCTTGTAATTTCCTCTAATTTAAGGTAAAAAATGGTCAGACTTGTCTTTTAGAATGAAATATGTCTGCAGTGCACAATGTTGCTCCAACAAGGTCAAACCAACCACACTCTGACATCCACATGGTGCCATGGTGATGGAAATAAGTTTTGCAAATTTTCCTTGGATGTACCACCATGCTATTAGCAGTCTGTTTCCTTTTCCCAGAACCAGCTGTCTTGTAACTCTCTTGGAGTCTCTGGACTGCACACATTTCCCCCATGTCTGCAGCTGAAACTCCACAAGCAGAGACTGCTGAAGTTTGAAGATAACAGTAAAAGCCCAACACACAGGTTTTAGACTGGTTGGTTGACTCCCCCTTTGAAAACTGGAACATCTAAAATAATAAATGTTTTTTCCAAGATATTTCCAGGTAAAAGCAAAAACTGATTTAAATTTGAAGCAAAAGTCCAGAAAGAAACTGAAAGGCAAAATGTTAAATATTTCTGCTTTTGTCCCTATTTTTTTGCAAGCTAGATACATATATTATTCATCACACTTAGGTATCCTAGTAAAAGAATCTCAAACTAAAACAAATTGCTGTGTGTTCTCCTCTAACAGGTCAGTGCTGTTAGAGATGGGTTCAGAGCTGCCAGGTCTGAGTTTTACACAGCCAGCCATTGCTCTTGCTGGTTTTGCTCAGCCTGCCTACAGACCCCATTCTTTCCTTTGAAGGCCATTCAATGAAGGAACTTGTACAGCTTCTTTGCTTGGTTTTGGTGATATATCATTGCAAAGGACACATTTTTCCAGAAATATGTGAGCCAACTACTTCCCAAACATCTGGAAGCCCTGAGATGTTTTGTGTAAACTCTGCGGTGAAGCACAAGACAAACATTATCAGCTCCAGGGAAGTGGCCATGGCATTGAGTCCCTGTGACTTGCAGCAAGGGTAGGTTTGAAATTCTGCAGAGATGACAGCATTATGGACATTTAATATGGAGATTAAATGATTCACCACTATGGAGCAGAAAGGGAAACAACTTTTTTTTTTCTAATATAAGTATTTCTATAAAATTAGCATCTTTAGTGCTTTGTATACCAAATGCAGACTATTAGATTTCTTCCATGAACTGATTATGAAGTATTATTATCTGGGAAAAAAAGGGCATTGATTTAGATATTAAAGGCATTAAAGGTAATTCAAAGATCCCTGCTGTGAAAAAGTCTAGTACTTGGCTTGTTAACCTTCTCCAGAATTAACATCTCTAAAGTACATGACTATGAGGTAGTATAGACAGTATAAATGTCCTATTTAGGATCAGAATCTTGCATAAAAATGTGAGATAGAAATTTCTCAGTCTGATTCAATGGCTACTCTCTTTCAGACTCTCTTTTTGCCTTTTTTTTTCTAGAAAGGAATTTAAACAGGAGCACTTGTTAAACAACACAGAAAATCTTAGACAGCTATAATTAATGTAAATGTACTTGTTTGTAATTTGAAATGAAACATCTCAACCTCAAAATGGAAATTCATGTTTAAACATTCTAAATATAATAATGATGCCTTCAGCAGCATCTCAATAGCTAATATTTCTGTCAGGATGGCCCAGGTTTGCTAATCTTTTTACTTTCACATTGTGAGTTTGTCAGAAATAATGCATAACTATCAACTTGAAAGACTGTGAATGACTTTTGTTATAGTTTTCACTTGATTTCTTAATGGTGTTATGACCTTGGAGCCTTGTAACTCAGAATAAGAACAGAGGAAGTCTAGAAAGCAAATCTGGCATCAATACCAGTTACAGAATTTTACATACAGTAAAAGTACCAAAGTACTGGCCAGTTTTGCATAGATTTTTCAAAGGGCAAAGTAGCCATACACTCAAAAATAACAACAGCAACAACATCATCCCAGTCTGATCAACTTGAAATCAATGCTTGATTTTTGATTTTTCACTGTTTTTTTCATTCCATGTTCTGCTTCATATGAATTTTTCAGGTGAATATACTTCTCTCGGCTACCACTTGTGCTAGTCATTCAATTAACAAAAACTCTTTCACATGTAGTTTTTGTCAGTGTCAGTACGTTTTCAACTCCAATTTTGTGTTTGAGAGTTTTTGAAAGTGTTGCCACAGCTCTGTATAAAATATTTAATCACTGAGAGTATCAAAATAAAATTGATTCTCTGTTGGGGTGTTATTAGCATTAATGCTCCTGAGCTAAAAGGAGATGCTATGGGACATATTTTCACAGTGAGCTAGATGGCATTTTAATCTTGCAGTCACACTGAGTATAATTGGAGACAGGTGGCTAAAGCTCCACGTTCTATTTCAAAAACATTATGTTCTCTCCATTCAGATATGCCTAACAAAGCCCCAGATTCATCCTGTTATATTTTGCCAGCTGAACTTTGCAAAATGGAAGATGTCATAGGCTGTAAAACCTGGGCATTAATTTAGCTAAGCCCACGTGGATTTCAGGTAGTTTAAAATCACACAGTGAATGGTTACAGTATTATGTAGCATAGATTTTTCACCAGAAAACACCTCAATGGCCATCTATTCTGACCTATTTTTTCCTGACCACAGCATTTCACACATATTTGCAGTGCAGAGGTGATTACTTCATTTTGCAGAAGAAAAGCTGATTCTGGGGAAGATGGTATTTTGCTCAGAAATAGATTTATATTTTACAAAGTGGAAAATTAAAAATTAAGCATGTATAAGATAGTACATAAGAGGAATATGATATTAGACAGATTACTGTATAGCCAAAATCTGCATGATTTTGTACTGGAAATTATTATGCATTGATGTCTCAGATACAGCATTATGACATTAAGACTCTAACACTGTTCCCTGGCAGACAGCATGGAATCTGTTCCAAGAAGGTGATTCTTATGTTCTTAACATTAAAAAAGATCTTAAAATCATGTCTGGATGAAGAATACTTCCTGTCCCATGAAACAGCATCTAAAAACTGTTGGTTCACTAGAAAATTTTGGTGTAATATTTGCCAGTCTTTGAATTCTGTGATAGACATTTTTAAAATTACTTCGCAAGGGAGACCATGTCATATACATTATTGTTAGACTTAAGACATCTGTTTCTCATAGAAGCCATCTGAGAGGTATAAAGCCAGACTTAAAAAATTTAAATCTGAAACATGTGAAAAATTACTTGCATTTTAAAATCTAACATATTTGCTTTCAAAAACCTGATTTTAATAACCCAACTTTGTCTACTAGTCATGTCTAGTAACTAGGCATTCATTTACCAAGTCAGCAGAGACTTGGTAAATGAATGGAGACCTCTTCTACCTGTCCTAGAAAACTTACATATGATTTAGTCAGCTGAAAAACTCACTATAGGGACCCACCTTTAAAACAGCATAAATATACTGCTCACAACTTTTATATTATAAACTATAATTTAAAGCACTTATCCTGAAGAAAAGAGACCAGCTGAATTCCCTTTTCAGCCTTGAAGGGATTCAAGCCCAGAATGCTTCCATGGCTGGTAACAATCCTAACCAAAAGCCTATTGTTTGGGTCAGGTGAGGAGAACCATTTAGACAATTATAGCCCAAATCTTACCAGCAAGGTCTGCAACAAGGTACAGGGTGTGCTTGGAGCCTCCCGTTCTGGCTCTCGATGTGTGGAGGCTGCATCCAAAAACAGATGGTTAGCTCACAGCTGTCCTATTGCAAACTGATGTCCCACTGTGCCATAACACAATTTTTTCTCCTCTGTCACATATGAACAAATCTTTTTGCTGTACAACTATCCATATTTTTAGTGAGAGCATGGCAAGATAATCCTTTTTTTTTTTTTTTTTTTTTTTTTTTTAAATTTCAGAATGACCTGAGGGAAGCATTGTCTTTAATAGACAGATTTGGGCCTTTGAGGCTTTTGGGACTAACAAATGCATTGAACTCACCAATATTCTTTTCATGCAAATGATCTTTGAAATAATTAGTTAATCTTCAAACATGATAGCCAACACTTCTTAAAAAAAACCCAAATACTTTCTCGTCCTTATGCCTACCTCCTTATGCCATTACTACATGATAGAGGAGAATAGATTCCAGTTTTTCCCCAGTTCCCATTTTTTTTGAGTGGCTGGAGTATCTTGGACAGTATTTGTCAGGCACTTCAGTCTTTGTGAAAGGGGGCCACATCTGTAATAGAACAAAAATACAGTGCTGAACTGTTAGCAGAGTCCATGGCAAAACTGGCCAGTGCAAACTCCTGTGCTTTCCAAACACTTCTTGGTCACTGCTTAAGGGTGAGGAGGGACCGAGGAGAGTCCAAAAGAAAGCAGACTGGATGCAATTATCTGGCTTTGGTAAGGATGGACTAAGCATACTTGCCTGATCACTCAGTGCTACCTGCCCTGTCTTCCTGTTATGAAAATGCAGACTGGACAACAGATTTCTTGCAAGGTGCCAAGATTTATAATTGCAGGTGTGACTGTTTTTAGTCTGTGGCTTTTGGTGCATCTAGCACACGTTCAGCAGTGAACAGCTCTGTTCCAGGAGTGAGGGTGAGCTTGCAAGATGACTGAAAGGCCTTGGGCCTTCGTGTATCATTCAACTTTGCTGTTGACAAAAATCCTTGTTCAAGTCCTTTTATGTTGAGAAATGATGATTAGCACCAATTATTTGAAATTGGTGGATTTATGTATTGATTAAAGTGCTGCTCAGTATATTACTAATGAAAGCCTTCTTCAGCAAATTGACTAAAGCAATGTTTTCAAGCTTCCTAAGGATTTACAATGAAAAACCAACTAAAGTCAATTATTTTTAACCCTCACTGGAAGTTCTTTTATCTTAAAACTTGCTTACTGTCAGCAAGTAATCTATGCAGTAATAAACAGATAGTTCCTTACTAAATTTATTTCAAAGCTGTTTCTGTATACTCAATTTATCAGTCACATAAGGATAAAATGCTTTCATAAAACATACACAGAAATACATTCTAAAGAATATATATGGTTTTTTACCTCACAGAGGTCAAAATTGAGACTAACGATCAGATAATGGTTTACCTTTAATGAAAAATATGCAATATAAAAATATGTATCATATATATATACTTTATTTGGAAATTAAGGAGAACAAATAGCACTTTCTTTGATGTGAAAAACAACATATGAATCTTATCTCCTAGGCAAACTACATAGGATCTTGACAGTCTTTGAAGCTCTCAAATAGTCAGAGCACAATTTTTAGCTGTTCTGCCAGCCATCAAGTATTTTCCCACAGAGATGCTGGCTACATATTCCTGTACATATGGAGTAGGGAATGGTGTCCTACACTTGGCAAACCCAACAGATGAGGTGGGTCACGCAGTAAAGGAAGAATAAGATCTCCTTTAGAAAAGGAATTCTGATCCTATCGATCTAAATGTTTGATTTGGATGATGTATTTTGACTTTATTATTCTGAATTATATATATATATATATATATATATATATATATATATAATTATTCTATAAAATATAATTTATGTAAAAATAATATCTAGCATTTAATCTAGTTCACCCCTCTCCCCAAATAAGTTTCAAAACCAAACATGAGATGGAAATTTTTTACTTTTCTTGTCAAATGTTGAAATAAGCATAATCCATTGAAACGCATTCCTGTTTGAAATATGGTAGAACTCTACTTTGATTAAAGAAATGGTGCACCAAATGAATGATCATTTAGATCCCAGCATCTAGCTCATTTAAATCAGTTCTAGTCTAAATTGTAGTGGTATAAACTGTCCATCTTTTTCCAGTCATAAAATACAAATAATTCACTATGTCCCATTAAGAACTGAAAACTTTCAGAAAGAGGATTTTTTATTAATCTTTCCTATTTTATACCTCTTAAAGATAAGGAAGGATGTATTATTTCATTGTGGAAAAATAAACTAACAGGACAGTTGCCAGCTCAAAACTTCTGTTTAAGAGGAACACTTTCACACTGCAGATGCACAGCAACAACATTCTTCTCCCTCTGAACTTTATTGAATTATGTTTCAAGAGTCTAATAAACAGCGATTGTTTTCATTGTAACCTTTCATTTGAGAATATAAAACAAAAATAAAATAATTTTGTGAGCCTGGGGTCCTAACTTGCTATTCTCCTCTAAGAATATATCAGTCCCTACTCATAAAACAACAATAATCTTGACCACTGTCCCTTTTGTGACCATAGTTTCTTCCCTTAAGGTTCTTAAGAAATTCAATTAACAGTCATCCACATATTCTAATTTTTTAGTGTTATAGGATGCATAGAATACAAATATTAATAAAATTATTACTATCAGACTGGTTAACAGAATTTAGAGTGTGTGATTTCCAGGCTTACATCACATATGAGTTCTTATTTAATAAGCTTTAAGTTCCTGTTCAGTTTTGATAAATATACCTACCTACCCTAGCTATATTTTGGGATCCTAACAGACTTTGTAACAGGCTATGTGAACAATCTTGTCTGCACAAATGTTCCTTATATCCATGCTATTCACATGAGACAGTGGCTAATGCTGTTAGAAATGACAATATCTAAAGGAGCTTTATTATGTTTATACTTATAAATTTGCAGCCACTGATGCTATCTTAAGAGGTTTAATTATTTTTGCAACCATTAGAGTTCCACAAAGCTAGCTCTTCTCCAATTACTAGCAATTTACAACTTTTTTTTTTTTTTTTTTCATCTAGAGGTCTGTCTCAAGTCCTTGCAGAGTCACACTGTTCAACCAGTTCCCCAGAGGTGTCTCTAGATTAACATTTGGATAAGTTCTGGAGCTCAGAAGAAACCAGGCCCAATTTTTGAACCCCTGAGATTTTCATATAAATGCAAACAACGTTTTAATGCTGCTTAGATGTGAATAGTTTTGACAGAAAATATTTTCATCTTTAATGCTGCTACAAAACAAATAAACATAAAACAATATTGCACACATTGTTGCTACATATCCTTTCAAATTTCTTCATGACTGCCAATTATTTTTATAGTGTTATGTAACTGTACTTCAGGACATAACTAGCATTACAAGTTTGGAACCCTATGATTCTGTAACAGATTCAGTGTGTGCCATCTCTCCAGTAATCCCCTTCTCCCTCCAACTTGTGATGTGAGAACAACCGGACCAGGCAGAGAAATGATTCAGATGAACAGCAATATCAGAGTTATGCAATCCAGAAACTTTTCTCAGGACACATGTAATTATTCTGTCCTCATTTTGGGGACTGCTGTGCTGACTAGGACAGTAACAGTAATAATAATTAAACATGTAGGATATGAGAAAGAAATGTAGAAAGATTAAAAGAAGAAAGTTTTAAAAATTTGTCAAAAGATTGATTTTCTGTGTTCTGAGTAAGTTTGGCCAGAACTGGCATTGTCACAGTTTAACATTAGGAAGGAATTCCAGAATCACATATTAATATTAGGAGGAGACACTTGAAAAAGTAATTGTCATAGCCAAAAACCTAGGGGGTCAGAATAAAGATTATGTGGTGGTGTTTTCTTTTTTTTTTTTAGTTCTTTGACTTATACTTAAGCACCTTTCTTTTTCAAGTCCCAAAATCCTTGATATCAGAGTCTTCATCTAATGGGTATTAGTAACACTTTACACAATATTACTATAAAAATATAACCTCTGAGGACTTTCAGGGCAAAAAATGCCTCAACTGTTTCCTACGGAACTGGAGTTTCTTTACAAATACCGAGGCAAATCTGAAGAAAAATTAAGAAAAATTGAGTTTAATACTAAATTATGAGCTGAGGAACTGAGAACAGTTAGCCATGATTCCTGGAGGAGGTATTTTAAGCTTAAGATGCAATAAAAGACAACACATATTATCACCAGCTTTTTCTATATTCAGAGTTTCTAAAGAAGTATTTCTGCCCCTTGTCTTATTTTGATATAGAGTAAATGTACTGACAACGATAAAGCCTTCAGTGAGTGTAATCAAATTATCCAGAAAAAGATGCAGTTGCAGCTGATCCTTCAGTCATGGCACACATTGGAATTTGTGGCAATCTCATGTCATAGAAGGAACATCCCTGCCCCTACTCTGCCCAAAGAACTGAATGAAAATTAAAAGTGAAAGCTCTGGATTAATTACTAAAATATCCAGTAGTAGAATTAATTGGTGTATGTCTATTGCAATAAAATGTGAAAACTCACACTGACTACTACTTATGATGAATTATTCAACAGGCTTTACTCAAGTGCATGGTCAGCAGGTCAGCTCATGTCAAAAGGTTCACAGACTGTTTAGACTGAGTTCTCAAAACTTGGGATATTTACACAAAACTCAGAAAAAAAAAATATAGTCTGTGTATTTAGTTTATAAGCTATAAATTTAGTGTCACAGTCTAGGATATGAGCAATTAGGATATGAGCAACTGTCTTCAAGATGCAACATGCAGAAACTGTTGCTAAAAAGAGAAATGTATTATAAACATCAGAGAAAGTTAGAGCTCTAGTCAAGAAAAAACAGAGAAATAAAATAGTTCAGAAGTAGTTCTACAGTCACTGAACAAATTACAATTTACCCTAAATTACCCCAAAAGAATTTCATAATGGTGAGAAGCAATTCTGTTGTGATTTCAATACAATCTACACTCTCTGAGCTTTAAGTTCTTTTTTTCTCTAA